CTTTAAATGAAAGGATTAAACTAAATTACCTCTAAGGTTCCTTCTAAGTCTATGATCCAGTGACCAAAAGTATTAATGAAGTGCTTAGAATTATGACATATCTGGGTTTAAATCTCAACTTTAACACTTGATTAATAAGTGACTAAGAAAGTCACAACTATTCTAAGCACGTTCCCTAACATGTAAAAACAAGGTTAATAAATACATTTAATATATGTTGCAAGTCCCAATAGAGATAATCTATGATCATAGAAATGAAATCTATAATCCTATGAATGCAGAGCACTATAAAATATCATTTATTATTGTTAGTCACTACAGAAAGGAAATGACATATATTCCTAGTCTTCTAGGTCCTTATAACTAAAAAGACAATTATTAAAATGGAGATCCTAATAAACAAAATAAATAAATTAACTGGACTAATAAAATAAAGCATGATATTAAATAAGTCTGCCTACAAGTAGGAAAATTGGAGTATTGAGATAAATTGCTATTTTTCTAACCAGTAAATGGGTTAGGTAGTCAAAACAACTGTCACCAAAACAAGATTCTGGATAGACCCAACATCACATGTTCTGATGTAGAATTTATCTGGATATTTAATTTTTAAAATTTAGCTTCATTCAGTGAGAATGAAGTTATCCATGTAGTTTCATGCTGCTTCTGAAATTTAACTCTTCTCTTCTATTGTATTTTAAAAAGTTTTTTTTTTAGGCAATTGGGGTTAAGTGACTTGCCCAGGGTCACACAGCTAGTAAGTGTCAAATGTTTGGTCTGAGGCCAGATTGGAACTCAAGTCCTCCTGACTTCAGGGCCAGTGCTCTATCCACTGCGCCAGCTAGTTGCCTCTAATTCTTCTCTTCTAAAGTTGTATGAACAGATGCTTATTTTTATGAACAAAGATAATTAACACTATTTTTAATACCTTGCCACATATCTCTTTTGTGTAAGTCAGATAAAGTAATATAAGATTCTCCTTCTTTTTCTTTTTTTGGCTTTTTGGTGAAGCAATCAGGGTTAAGTGACTTGCCTAGGGGCACACAGCTAGTAAGTGTCAAGTGATTAAGGGCACATTTGAACTCAGGTCCTCCTGACTCCAAGGCCAGAGCTCTATCCACTGTGCCACCTAGCTGCCCCATAAGATTCATTTATCAAGTTAACTGTGAATATAGAATGATAGGCAGGTAGTTTATACACTTTGTGCCTCCCTCAATCTTCAGAAGTGACAAAGTACTACTAAACACATTGAAGTCAACAAAACTATGTATTATTAACCTATAAAACTTGTACAGAAAGATTTTTTCCTAGAAGTTCTGTTAAGTCAAAGAGGTAACTAGTTTCTACTTAATTATTAAAATTCTGTTGCTAACAATTATGACAAAATAAAAGTCTATACAGTATATTTAATGTATACTATAGTTTGATGGGGAGAGGGGAAGTGGAAAGGAGAGGAATAAACATTTATTAAATGCCTACTATGTATTAGGTAATGTGCTTTACAAATATTATCTCATTTGATCCTCACAACACTGAGAAATAAGTGCTATTATGATCCCCATTTGAGAAAACTGAGGCAGATAGAGATTATGTGACTTGCTCAGGTTCATGCAACTCATAAATATCTAAGACCAGATTTGAACTCAGACCTTCCTGAGGACCACCACCCTATCCACTGTGCCACCTGGCTGCCTCTGTGATCTCATAAAATACGGTTTTACATTCTATCGCTTCAGGTCACAACAGATCCACATGTACCTCATCTTGTGTCTTTTCTACATTCTCTCATAGATGCTCCAGGTAGGGTGTATCCAATGTGCCGGGGGCTTCTTCTCTATGTCATTTTACAGTATATTAGTATCACTGCAGCACTTGAACTCTCTGTTATTCCTTGCCTAAGATGTATGAATGATTTTCATACCTCTTCCATCATACATTTCTCATGCAATACCATTTAGACCACTTATTAAACAGAAATCACTACTACAATCTACTCAAACTACACGTACATTAATTTCTCTATGGTGTTTTGGATCACGTGTAAATTTGTTTCCATTCAACAATAATAAAACTATCACAAAGTGGCTTAGGGTAAGGTTAGGAGACTATATATTTTGACTAATGCAAAATATATGTTACAACATCAATGGATCTATGATGTATGATGTGGGTATTCCATCCAGATGCACAGATTTCAATCTATCCGTAACTGTTCATTCTGGGTCACTACAGAGTTTAAAAAAATTGATTTTTCCTATTTTAGAACAAAAAAAAATACTGAGACGAGGAATATCCTCCTATTTTTAAGATTTTACAATTATGTAATTAGATTTAACCCCCCGCCACTCCTTCCAAAAATCTTTATACATAAAGATTCCCTTCTGCTTACTCATCAACATAAGCAGTATCTTATGCTAAATAAATTTGTGAATCAAAGATCAGTAGAGATGACTGATAAACTCTTAAAATTATCTAGAATTTTATTTAGCATAATTTTAAGTAACAAATCTCCTATTATTTCCTGGAGGATAAACTACACCCTTCCTTGGCAGAAATTTTTAGAAACTCAATTACCTAACCGAAAAAAAAAAATAGAATAAAATGATAGAAGGAGAAAACAATAAATGCTGGAGAGGATGTGGTTTTTAAAACCTGGGACACTAATTCACTAGCGATGGAACTGTGAACAGATCCAATCACTTTGTAAAGCAGTCTGGAATTATGCCCCAAAAGTTATAAAACTGTACAACCTTTCACCCAGCAATACCACTATTACATCTGTTTCCCAAGGTGATTAGGGACAAAGGAAAATAACTTACATGTTCTAAAATATTTATAGCAGCTCTCTTTGTGGTGGTAAAGGGCTGGAAATTGAAGGGATGCCCATCAATTGGGGAATGGCTAAACAAGTTGTGGCATATAACTGTTATGGAATACTACTGTGCTATAAGAAATGATGAGTTGGTTGATTTTAGAAAAACACGGAAAAACTTACATAAAGTAATGAAGAATGAAGAGAGTAGCCCCAAAAGAACGTTGTACATGGTAACAGCAATCTTGTTCTAAGAACAACTACGTCATTTTGAGTATTATAAATACTCAAATCAACCATGAAAGACCTATAAAAGATGCTATTTACATCCAAAGAAAAAACTGATATAGATGTACAGTATAGTTTTGCACGCACACAGACATACACACAAGTGTCTAATGGTAGCCTTCTACAGGATGGGGTGGGAAGGGAAGGAGAAAAAAAATAAAACATATACAATAGAGAACAAAAAAAACTTAGAAGAAAGCACAAAAAAGGAGTTTGGCTTTGAAAACAAAGTCTCTTATTTATTACATAGTTATAAAAAAACTGAAATGGTTTTATATTGGAAACTTCTTATGTTGTGTTGTATACATGGAAATGTTCTTTTTCGTATTTAAGTTCAAAATAAATAAATATTCTAAAATTTAAAATTAAAAAAGAAAAAACTTCTCTTGAGCCCGTATCTCTCTGTGGTTACATTCTAAACCTCTCCCTTCACATGTCAAACTGCTAGAACATCTAAACTTGCTGTCTCTTCTGCCCCTTAACAAGCACTCATTTCTCAAATCCTAGCCATCTGGCTTCAGCCCTCCTCACTGTACTGAAACTGCTTCTTCAGTGTGCCTAATGACTTCTTAACTGAGCATCTCTTCTCAGTCTTCACCTCCCTTGGCCTCTCTGCAACTTCTGATACTTTTAACAACTTCCTCTACCTAGACCCTCTCTCCATCTTGGTTTCTATGACCTCACTCCCTCCTATTTCTCCTGACTGATCAGTTTTTCTCCTGGTTCACTGTGTCTCTCACACTCGCCAAGCCTGAGTATCACACTCCACTCCCTCTACCTCCCCGGCTCTGGCCTGAGTCCTTTTCTCTATATTCTATCTCTTGCTAGTGTCACATTCAGTTATAACTCCTAAAGCTATACATCCAGTCCTGATCTCTCAAACTCCAGTTCTTATCAAATACCTGCAGAATATTCTGTGCCCACTCTTTCCCCACCTGGCCCTAATCATTCTAAGTCTCTGCCTTTGAACCTTTCTTGACTTTGCTTTCTTCCTCCATCTCCGCCCCTACTCCCATTCCTCATCCCCTCCATCCCATCCAATCAACTGCCAAATCCTGTCAATTTTACTTCTACAAAATACTATTAGCATCCACCCAGCTCTCTCCATTCACATGGTCACCACCCCAGAATAGGCATTCATCACCTCTCTTGCTGACTACTAAAACAGTTTCCTAAACATTCTCCCCATTTGCAGCTTCTCCCCTCTTTAATCTGTCCTCCACACTACTACCAAAATATCTAAGGTACAGGTCTGACTATGTTATTTCCCCACTCAAAAGCCTTCAATGGCTCCCTACTGTCTTTGGATAAAATACCAACTACTTATACCTTGGCATTTAAGGACATTAATATGGTTCCAACCTACCTCTCCAGTATTATTTTCTCTTTACACATTCTATGTTTCTGTTGGGCTGGACTTAACATTCCATCTTTGGCCTCTGTGTATTGGTGAAGGCTCAGAAGGCACTCTTTGCTTGACTCTACCATTCAGAATCTCCATTTTTCTTTAAGCTTCCCTGATTCCCTCTTGATATTACCTTTAGTTATTTATCTCTACTGCTATCTCCTAAGAAGAGTGAAAGCTCCATGAGGGTAAGGAGTGCCTTACTTTTGTTTCTGTCTATGCCCCACCACAATCCCTTACACATTTTAGGTGATAAATAAACATTTGTTGAATTTAAGTGAATAAATATACCATGATAGTCCATGAAATATTTTCATACACATTATATCATTTGCAACTCTAATTGGGTCATCTTATTTACAGAAATATACAGTTTTAATATACTTTAATGTGATGTACTTCACATCTGTTTTTGTTTGGGAAAACACTGGTTAAGTTAAATACATATTTTAATCAATTAGGTTTTCCTTACATTTATTCAAAATAGAATTTTACCTGCTTCTTAATAGCATAGTTTTCACCATCTTCAGCTTTCATTTTTTCAACTTTTTCTTCTTGTTGTTTTGCTTCTTTTTCATACATCAATTTTTCTTTGACCAACCTATAAATAAATGATATTTTCTTCAATAAATCAGTTTCCTTTTTCCTACAGAAACTTGTCATAGCTAGAAAACACAATTTTGAAAACACCACCACAGATTCTTAAAACATAAACCAACAGAAGAAACTAGTTTGGGAGGGTGGGAAGTACAGTGGTCTATTGTGGCTGTAACCGTAATCAAGATAAATTATTGCACTTATATTGTGTGTAATTGATTACAAAGTAATTAAAAAATCTTAAATTTGAATTAAAAGTCTGTGCCCATTATATTTTAAAACTGTGATTTAATTCATCTGTGCACAGTATAATCCCTTATGACATAAAAGGATGTTACCAAAGTTAGAGGGAGAAGTTTAGGGGCACAGAAGTTGAGCATGGGATTGGGAGAAGGCAGTATTGACTGTCTTCATGAATGGACATGACTGAGCATATGGTGATAAACCTCCTCCATCTCAACCAGGATGTCCTTGGATAATAAGTGTATATAGTCCTCCATCTCTGCATTAACAATTTTTCTAGTTTTATAGCACCTAGGGAAAAAAGCTTATGCTCCACTAGCATTTGTTTTCAGGAATCCAGGGTTACCTCTAAGCCACAGTAAGGCAATAGGCAATGCATTATATGAATTGAAAGCAGAGTCACAACACTTAAATGCTCTGCATTTTAATATATGAACTACTTAAAAAGCCAAGTATGTTTTTCGTAAAGTTAGACACAAGTTCACAGATCCTCTGAAATCTATCTATGGACCTCATGGTTAAGAACTTCTGTATTAGATCATGGGCAAAAAGAAAGGTTTTTTTGAGGGTATAGGAAGAAGGAGGAAATGTTGAATACAGATTGATTCTTTCACATACTTTAATAAAAATGAAATGATACAGCTCTGGCCACTTAAACAGCTCAGGGAATAATTTTCCTTATAAGAAGAAAAGGGGGAACCTACCATAGTTTTAACATTTAGATATGTGCCTTTGCAGTTTAAAAAAAAGTAACTAAAGAAAAATGACTTGTGATTAATCCATTTTGTTGTTAATACTAATGATATAGCAACTTTAATATTTATAAAGCTCTTTATGTATATTATAAAGGATATTCCTAGCATTGTCCTTTTCCCTTGGAAATTCTTGTAACTTATTAGATCCATCTGGGACCAGAGCAGATCCCAGGGATAGTCCTGGTCCAGATCCAAGTCTGCTCTCTAGTCTTTCCAGCCCCTGAAGTTTAAGGAGGTCAGTGTATTGAATGGCAACATCTTGGGTAGTAGGCAAAACTACTCAGTAAAAAATAGTTCACTGCAGGACAACTGGAGAAAGGAAAGATGGAAATACTAAATTCAGTATGCTGCCTGAAAGAACTGCATTATTAACTTGAAATATAGCTATCTGGAAGCTTAATTATACAATGGCAAACACTGTTTCGAGAGATTTGAAAGGGACTACATAAATCTGAATTTTTACTATTGATGCCTAAATAGCTCCAATTTCATTATTACGTGATTTTAGATTAGGAATATTACATGGCAGGGGTTCTCAATCTGCAATCCATTAACTTGATTCTTAAAATATTTTTATCACTATATTTCAGTATAAGTAGTTTCCTTTGTAATCCTATGCATTTTTATTTTATGCATTTAAAACTATTCTGAGAAGGAATCCTTAGGCTTCACCAAAAGACAGCCAAAGACGTCTATGACACAAAAAAAGTCAAGAACCCCGACACAGTAGATCATAGTATTACAAATTTAGGGCTGGAAGGGCCCTTTAGAGGTTACCTAGTCCATTTACTTCATTTTACAGATGAAGAAATTGAGGCCCGAAAAGTTTGGAGAGAATGGTGAACAAGGTGTTCAGGGACTTAAATTTGAATCCCGGCTCTGCCATTTTACTAGAGCAAATCACTTAACCTTTTAGGGACCTGTTTCCTCAACTATAAAATCTGAGTTGGACTGTATGACCTATAAGGTTCTTTCTAGTTCTAGCTCAATAATTCTGTAAGTCACTAGCCCAAAGTCACACAGAGCTGACAGAGCTGGCATTTTAACTGAGGTTCTCTGACTCCAAACCTAGAATGTTTTCCCACACATGGGATTTTCTTTTTTTTCTTTTTATTTATTTATTTTTTTTGGCAACTGGGGTTAAGTGACTTGCCCAGGGACACACAGCTAGTAAGTGTCAAGTGTTTGGTCTGACGCCACATTGGAACTCAGGTCCTCCTGAATCCAAGGCAGGTGCTCTATCCACTTCCACACCTAGCTGCCACCACACATGGGATTTTCAAAGAACCTAAGAAACCAAAAGTACTTCTGTGATCCCACAGTCCAACTCCCATATTTTACAGAATAGAAAACTAAGGCCTATAGAAGATACATGACAAACTCAATTTTTTTTTCTCCCCTGCCCCCTTCTTTTTTCCTTTTGGTCCAGAACTGTGAATTCATTGGTCAAGGAAATGCTGTGGAAACATCCTTTACTTACACAGATCTATAGCTGTTCTGAAAATGACAGTCTTAGTCTGTGGCTACTGAAAAATTAAGTTGTTTGCCCAGTCACAAAGCCAGTAGTATGAGAGAGAGAGAGAGAGAGAGAGAGAGAGAGAGAGAGAGAGAGAGAGAGAGAGAGAGAGAGAGAGAGAGAGAGAGACAGAAAGATTTTGAGATTTAAAGCTTAAACAATGCTTTCCTCACAACAAATCCTGTGAGACAAGAGCTATATTACCTCTATTTTAAAGCTAAGGAATCTGAGGCTTTAAGAGAATAATGGCCACAGCTAGTAAGTAATCTAAAATGAGATTTGAATTTGTGGCTCCTGATTCCAAGACCAGCAAATTCTTTTTTTCTAGAATATGCCAAACGCACATATTAACAAATTCTAAATATTCAAAGAGAACAACAAAGAAAATAATCATTTTCACTACCTAATACTATTACTGTAATTAATATTGAGGATAAAATGGGTCTGTCTCCTAGTGATTCAATTTTCAGGGAACATCAGCAGTAGGATATAGAATTGATGGGAAAGAGAAATAATCAAAGTAGTAAAGCTTTGAAATCTGGCAAATTACGCTAAGAAGTTCAATAAACAGCACTCTTTAGTCAGTGAAAGAGAAAAGTGGTATTTTCTGTTTATTGCTGGTTTCGTTTTCTCTTAAAATCCTTTATCTATCTATCTATCTATCCATCTATCTATCTATCTATCTATCTATTTGCAGCCTTTTTAAAAAATAATTTTGAGTTCTGAATTCTCTCCTCTCCAGCACCCAATCCACCGTGCCACCTGGCTGCCTCTGTGATCTCCAGCCCTTCCCCCACCCACTGAGAAGGTAAGCAATATGATACCAATTATACAAGTGAAATAATGCAAAATATATTTCCATATTAACCTTACTGTAAAAAAAAAGGAAAGAAAGAAAAATAAAGAAAGTGAGAAAATTATACTTCAATTTGTACTTAGAGTTCATCAGATCGCTCTCTGGAGACGGACAGCATTTTTCATTACGAATCCTTTGGAACTGTCTTGGATTGATTTTGATATTGATTGGTGTAGCTAAGTCTTTCACAGTTAATCAACATTACAATATTGCCGTTACTATGTACAATAATCTTCTGGTTCTGCTCACTTCATTTTGCATATAAGTCTTCCCAGGTTTTTCTGAAACTATCCCCTTAGTCATTTCTTATAACATAATAGTGTTCCATAACAATCACATTCCACAATTTGCTTAGCCATTCTCAACTGAAGGGCATCCCCTCAATTTCCACTTCTTTGCACAATAAAAAGAGCTGCTGAAAATATATTTTTTGTACATATGGATCCTTTTCCCTTTTCTTTGATCTCTTTGGGATACAGCCCTAGCAGTGGTATTGCTGAATCAAAGGGTTTGCACAGCATTTGTCATTTCTGATAGGTGTTAAGAGTTGTTTTAATTTGCCTTTCTCTAACTGACAGTGATTTGGAGCATTTTTTCATATGATTATAGATAGCTTTAATTTCTTTTTCTAAAAACTGTTCATATCCTTTGACCATTTATCAACTGGGGAATAGCTCTTATTTTTATAAATGACTAGTTCCTTATATATTTAAGAAATGAGGCCTTTATCTGAAAAATTTGCTATAATTTTTTTTTACATTACTTCATTGTCTAAGTATATGTAAGTTTAGCCAAATGTAGTTTCCCTGATTATCTTTTACTTAGATCAATTTTTGCTTTGTCTGAGGTCATGATTGCTACTCCTGACAAAAAGTATAATTTTCTTTTTTTTTTTTTAAATTAATTTATTTTGATGTATCAACAATCACTTCCATATGCTTCTGAGTTGAAAATTTTTCTCCCCCTTCCTCCCCCCCACCCTCCCCAAGACAGCACACAATCTGATACAGGCTTTACATTTACATACCCATTAAACACATTAGTGAAGTTGTAAGTAAAAATTAAAACCAACAGGAGGAGCCATCAGAAAGATGAAACAAAACCCAACAAAAGGGATGGCGATTCGACTTCCATAGTTCTTTCTTTGGATGTGGACAGCATTTTCCATCCTGAGGCTTCTGGAGATGTCTTAGATCCTCATAATGCTGAGAAGGGTTCAGTTTAACAATCTTAGTCATTGCATAACGTGGCTGTTATTGTGTACAAAGTCCTCTTGGTTCTGCTCACTTCACTCAGCATCAGACCATATAAGTCTTTCCAGGTTTTTCTGAAGTCAGCCTGTTCATCATTTCTTATAGCACAATAGTATTCCATTACATTCATATACCACAACTTGCTCAGCCATTCCCCAATTGATGGGCATCCTCTCAATTTCCAATTCTTTGCCACCACAAAAAGAGCTGCTATGAATATTTTTGTACATGTGGGTCCTTTTCCCATTTGTTTGATCTCTTTGGGATATAGTCCTAGAAGTGCTATTGCTGGATCAAAGGGTATGCACATTTTTGTAGCCCTTTGGGCATAGTTCCAAATTGTTCTCCAAAATGGTTGGATCATTTCACAACTTCACCAAC